CCCCAAAACCCCAAAACCCCAAAACCCCAAAACCCCAAAACCCCAAAACCCCAAAACCCCGAGAAATTGGAGACCCGCTGAAAAAGAGAAAATGGAAGATTTTGGCCAAGATTTTTAACTAATCTCAATTTTTAGAAGGATCTGTTACTCAATGAATTACCTAAAAAGTTTATGGAGAAATGTTTTTATTAAAGATTACTCATAGGATTCCATAGGTGGACAAGAGCACATTAGATTCCTTTCTCCGTATACATTGTCAATTCTGCTAACTGTAGCCCAGAACTTTCCTCTGGAGTGGATCCATGAAACTGGGAAAGCGGCTTTTTCTCTTGTGTAAGGATAGTTCCATTCGTCACTAGAAACCACTTGGACTGTATGTGGGGAGTTTTTGAGTACATTATTGGTTTTATCTGCTTTACCTTCTTCAATTTCTCTAATTTCTTCTCTGATATTACGAAGTGCATCACAAAGTCTGTCCATTTCTATCTTTGGCTCAGACTCTGTTGGCTCTACCATGATACCTCCAGCGACTGGGAAGGATACAGTAGGAGCATGGAATCCATAATCCATGAGTCTCTTGGCAATGTCTTCTTCAGTAACCCCTGCTGTCTTCTTGAACTCTCTTGTGTCAATAATGAATTCATGTGCATTCTTCTTATTTTTGTTCCTGTATAGGATTTCATAATGACCCTCGAGTTGTGCAGCCATGTAATTTGAGTTAAGGATAGCAAGGGCAGAACTCTTACTAATTCCTTTCTCTCCGCACAAGCTGATGTAAGCATGAGGAATTGGAAGAATTGAAGCACTTCCGTAAGGAGCACTACACACAGCATGTTTGGTTCTTCCATCTATTGGGATAATGGCATGCCCAGGTAGGTGAGGTTCAAGCTCTTTAGTGCAACAGATTGGGCCCATTCCTGGACCACCACCTCCATGTGGGATTGTGAAAGTTTTATGAAGGTTCAAATGACATACATCTCCTCCAATAGTTTTGATGGAGCTGTGTCCCATCATAGCATTCATATTAGCTCCGTCAATGTAGACCTTACCTCCATATTTATGAATTGTCTCGGTGATTTCTAAAATATCTTCTTCAAAAACTCCATGAGTCGATGGATAGGTGATCATGGTACAGGAAAGGTTATCCTTATGTAACTCAGCCTTTGCCTTAAGATCTTCAACATCAACATTTCCGTTCTTGTCAGATTTCACAGCAACAATCTTCATACCCAAGAGCATTGCTGAAGCTGGGTTGGTTCCATGAGCCGAGGTAGGGATGAGACAGATATTTCTGTGTCCCTCTCCATTAGCTTTATGGAAATTTCTGATTGTTAAAAGCCCAGAATACTCTCCTTGAGCTCCACTATTTGGTTGTATTGAGATAGCTTCAAACCCTGTGATTGCCATGAGGTAGTCAGAGAGTTCATTAATCATCTGCATGTATCCTTCAGTTTGAGATGGTGGTGCAAATGGATGGATATTGCCAAACTCTGGCCAAGTAACTGGAATCATCTCCACAGCAGCATTCAGCTTCATTGTGCAAGACCCAAGAGGAATCATGGATTTTGTCAAACCAATATCCTTGTCGGCTAAGGTTTGAATATATCTCATCATATCTGTCTCAGAACTGAGCGAGTTAAAGATTTTATGAGTCATAAACTCAGATGTTCTCTTTAAACTATCTTTAATTCCAGAATAAGAAGTATTTTCAAAATCAACATGGGCATCCTTTCCTTTAACTTTTCCAAAAACTGTGATCAGCTCCTCCAAGTCTGCTAGAGTGGTAGCCTCATTCAAGGAGACATTGAGGGTGTTGTCGTTGACCACTCCGAGGTTGATTTCGTGATCCTCAAAAATTGACAAAATCTGGTCTTTAGTTAAATCTTCATTGGATATGTCAATAGCAATCGAATCAAACATTGAGTCTTTATGAGTATGTAAAGTATACCCAAGTTCGGTTAACTTGTCATGAAGGATATGTGTTTGGTAATTAATCCTTTCAGCAATGTTAGTAAGCCCCTTTGGTCCATGCCAACATCCATAAAAAGCAGCCATATTTGCTAATAAAGCTTGTGCAGTGCAGATATTTGATGTAGCTCTATCTCTCCTAATATGTTGCTCTCTAGTCTGCATTGCCATTCTCAAGGCTCTGTTTCCATGAGCGTCCTGACTGACACCAATAACTCTTCCTGGAAGTTTGAATCTAATCTTTTCTTTTACTGCGAAATAGGCAGCATGTGGACCACCGAATCCCATTGGCACTCCAAGTCTTTGAGCCAACCCATAAGCGATATCTGCTCCCATCTCGCCTGGAGACTTAGTCATAGTAAGACTTAGAACATCGGATCCAATGATGAAGAACCCTTTGGACTTGTGTACCTCTTCTGCCTTGGCACTCCAATCTTGGATGTTACCATTAATACCTGGATTTTGGACGAGGACACCAAAAATATCTTCTCTATCTGAGAAATCGTATTCATTCGGATCTCCTACAACAACTTCAATTCCTAATGGCTCAGCTCTGGTTTTTATTACTTCAATAGTATGCTTGTAGGTTTGGTCACTAACAAAGAATACGTTCCTCCTCTTATTAAATTGAGAATAAGCCATGAACATTGCTTCAGCTCCAGCAGTGGCTTCATCTAAGAGGGAAGCATTGGCAATATCCAAACCGGTCAAATCAGCAATCATAGTCTGGAAATTGAGCAAGCTTTCCAATCTTCCTTGAGCAATCTCTGCCTGGTATGGTGTGTAAGGAGTGTACCAATTTGGGTTCTCTAGAACATTCCTAAGAATCACATTTGGGACAAGACAAGGATAGAATCCCTGTCCTTGGTAAGACTTGAAGATTTTGTTTTTCTTTGCAACCTCCTTCAGATTCTCTAGATACAAAAATTCAGATCTTATCTCTCCAACCTTGGCAAAATCATGCTTAAACATATCTGAGAGGTTGGTTGTCAGAATAGAATCTGGGACTGACTCTTCAAGATGTTCTTCGATAGTCTTGTTTCCAACAGTAGCCAAAACTTCCTGTTCTTGAGCAGGGGTAATACCAATATGTCTTGGAAGCAAAAAGTCACTTGCCTTGAGCTTATCTGGAATATTCTGGTTTTGCTCTAACTCTAACTGCCTTGCAACTGTTGAGGCGAAGGGTCTCAACATAGATTGCTGGACCTTTCCAGCACTGGAAATACCTTTAAGAGAAACTGATCTCTGAGTAAATGGTCTAAGGAACATTTTTAATAGTATTTAATTATATTTAACCTTCTTCATTTGCTTTGTTGTGTGTAGGGGTTTTGGGGTTTTGGGGTTTTGGGGTTTTGGGG